AGACCCGGTGACGTGAGCTATCCCGACACCAATGGAAGCAGTAAGGTACGCTGGAAATACATTGGATAGCGAGTGCCTTGAAAATGAGCAGTAATTGACTGTATCTTAGTTATGATTGAATACTCCCCAAGACGGGTTGCCGGAGTCGTTCCACAATCCGATGCTAACGCTTATGCTTAGGTTTCAAAAATGCCGTAACTAATGGTAATTAGATCCCGCAATGCTCAAAAACCAGTTGCAAGAGGACAATTAACCTGACAAATTCCTTCACAGGGCCCGTGGTTGATCACATCAAGTCGGAGGCTGCCCGTACCGAACAAGAGCTACGCGAATTGAAAAATGCTCGTGTGACGCCCTCGACCACCACTGCGACCGGCCAACACCTGACCTGTATGTGGTGAAGATAGTCCACAACGACACAACAACACAGCTAATTCGTTCCAGACTACCATTCCCTGTTGTACAGCCTCCTGAGCGTGAGTGAGCTATTGCACCGTGATGGACACGATAAACCTAACCCGTGACTAGTGGGAACAACCTCGAGCTACTGCTGCTTCGTTTGCGACCGTCGTGACTTTTATTTTCGCCGCCCGTTACCTGCCTCTGCTCCGCTGGTTCTTCAAATTCGTCTACGTGGCTCTAGGATGTGAGTTGTGATCCCCCGTTTGATATGGGCCGGGCGATAATTGATCTGTCTAGTTACCGCTGCCGCCGAGCTCGGTGGTAGACTCGTGCTGTCGCAGGGTCTCGCAAGCTCTTTCCGCCCTCGTAAATACTACACCATCCCGAAGGAGACGATCGAGGGAGTCTATGAGGATCTTGAACAGCTCCTGAACTTTGTCCTCCTCGAATTCCAGCGCATCCTGTTTGCCGAGAACATCGTCCACACTGTCGCTGTAAGTTATGAGCGTATCGATATGGGTGTGCCCGAAACTTACCCATTTCTCACCCGTACAGGCTTTCGCTGCCGCCTTCAGCGCCTATTGGTTGATCAAATGGCTTCCATTCTGGGGCCTGTCTCTGATCGCGGTTACCATCGCTTACATTGGACCTCTGGTCTACATGAACAACCGTGAAGTCATCGATGCACAGATTGAAAACCTCCAAGAAGTGGTCAACTCTCAGGCCCACCAACTGAAGGACCTTGCTGAAGAACGTACCTCCCATGCGACCGGTTTGGTGAAGCAGTACGTGGATGGCTACAGCGCCAAGGCCCAGGAATACATCGGCCAGCGTCGCTCCGTATCGCCGCAGATGACCAAGGTCTCCACCCCGGAGCCTGTGATCAAGAAGGAGATCGACACCGAGCCCGCATTCAAGACGACGGACTTCCCGGAAGCACCCAAGGAGGAGCCCGTTGCCGTGAAGGAGGAACCCGTGGCTGTGGCGGACTCGATTGAGCATCCTGCTTCGAGTGTGGAGAAAGAGCCTCTTCTGGCGGCTTAAGATGCCTCGGCCATTTCATGTCTTGCTCGATCAGCCACCCACGAATGATCGAATCGGGCGATGGATATGCTGATCGCGCAAGAGCTTCCTTATTCGGCACTGTTTTGTGGGACACGCCCGACCAAAATTGTACTGAATGTTGAGGTATAAGGATGGAGAATAGGCGTGTACGATGGTATGATGCGGTTTGAAGGTTTGACTTTTAAAATTTTCTATTGCGCCGGAGATATTATCTTTTTCCCATTTCTTTTTTTCAGCTTGACACATTTGCACTTTATTCTCGCTAGTACCTTCGGCCTTTGTATGTACATCTTTGACGTTCAATTGAGCCTTCTAATTTTTCTGCTTTATATGATCCACAAATTATTACTAAGGTCCTACACTGGGCGAAGGCATGCAGAACGGCAAACGCGCATTAGAAGAAACAAGAATAAAAAAAAAAGGGAGCAAAGAGGCGAGGGAACAAGAGAAACACACTGGAACAGAGGCTAAAAAAAGTATCTTCAAGAGATTGCAGGTGTTGTGCGAGGTACCGGCTGTGTTCATCTGGGATGCAACTGGTGTTCCGGAGATTTTCCTCGAACATATGTAAATTTGACCCTTCACTGTTGAAGCCGCGGACCTCGGCGTCGTCCCACCATATTCACAGTCCTATCGACGCGATCATGGCTTTTTTTCCCTGCAAGACTCCAGTCCGGGATTCGACCATGGCTGTCCCCGTTTGACAGCAGAGCAGATCAGGGACGTCCGCCCTCACACGACGTCGCGGAAGCCGTTCCTCTGCCCCAGGTTGAGAGACGTCACACAAGTGCTGCCAGGCTATTTTACGGCGCAAGTGCATCGTGGTTCAAGCGTCGGGCGCTTGAATGCGATGGACTTGCATTCAACATAGCTTTGAAGTTCTAATTGACCCCCAGAGTCGACCATCGTAAATTCTATACAAGTAGAAAACGACATCGACGTCATTGGCTGAGCGCTCCATGTCAGCTGACCGCATCGACGGGAGTAGCAGTTTGTTCTGTTTGCATTACCAGGAGCAGCTGCTCCATCCAACTACTTACTACTGCTAGGTACTCTACTAGACTCTTCAACAGCAGTGCCAATCCATCCAATCGCTGCGTCTTACCTGAACGTTTCGTTTGCTCGTAACTGAGATGCTGTGCCACAGAGCGAGCCAGGTCCATGTGTGATTGCAGCAGACAAATTTAACACGAAAGAATGTCTTACAACTCACGCCGTGATTACTCAAGTTTAAGCCTCTATCTTTCGAATCCTACACCCTTCGCTCTAGGACTTCTTCGTTTGAAATGCTGTCTTTTCCAATTAAAGACGGAGAACGAACAGCCTGAACTTACTCATGCCTCTGGTCTCACTCCAAGCCAGGAACCGTATGTCTCGGATATTGGGCTTCCTTTCTGTTTCTAGATCTTACATTCTGGCTCATTGCTGAGCTATTTGTCAACTGATTAGCCAAAGGCGCTCCGATATTCCTCTTTATGTGCTTTTCCTAATCATGAGCTAGAAACGTCCCTGCAGAACAGCCCTAAGTCCCAGATTGCAAGACGACGATTGAGCTTGGCTCCCCCACAAGAGGTAAGCGATCCTGGTCGAAAGGGCTAGGGTTGTTGCCGCAAGGGACAAAGCGAAAGGGAAAAAAAGGGTCTCCATCAATGTAAAATCCTGAATTAAAGAAATTAGCAAGGCAAACACTACGAAACGACGCCACCATGAGTGGGACTCTTGCAGAGAAGCCTGCGTGGAAGGTTCGATGATGCCCATAGCCAGTCATATTAAACCTTGGATGCTTCTATGACAAATACCTGAGCGGGAGCAAGACCTTTGGACCAATGTGGATGTTGGTTTCATGGACACTGAGCAGCCAGCCTAGTGGTTGGAGCGGTGTTACGCTCGATGTGAGGTGAGGCTTCGGCTGAACTTAGAACAAGTTACTAAGAGGCATCCCTCATGGCGCGACGGAGCGTTGGCTGACAAAGATAGAGAATGAGATGATCTCATCGCTACTGAAGGCTCTCGATGTAACGCTTTTCATTAGCATTAGGTTTGTATAATTAGTGTCCGCGCATCGGGGCTACTTTAGGCTTTGCTCATGGGATAGCGGTCAACAATCACAAACGCATGTGGCCGATCCTAAGCTTTCCTCCTTGTCCTTACTAAATACACACATTATAAGCCGAATGGATAGGGGCGTGGCCATCAGAGATGACTCATTCGTTGGAAGTACTGCAGGTATCCGGATAGTGAGACCCTCCCAATGACGGCCTCACAAGTCCGGAACCGATGAGTCCCTTCGTTTATTGGTCGCACGATCATGGGGGATAATCTCCCAGCGATCCTGACACTCGCTCTCCTGATATCTAATTCAGATGCCCCATTACTTTACATCAGTCGATGAGTAGCTCACCGGAAATCGCAATGATCGAAAAGCACTGGCAGAAGGTTGCGCACAAGTGATTGCGATGCAAATGGATATCTTCAGCCCTCATGGTTCCTTTTCTCATTTAGGTTTACGCTTACCAGACCGCCGTATCCATCTGTTTGCATGGCGCGGGAGATCTGGATCAATAAAAAGCAATGAGGGTGATTTTAGTCCCGCTCAACCAGGTAAGACCGCCACATGGGACGAAAGTGTCTGAAACTGATCTACCCTGTGTCGTTCCTGGTCCTGCGTCATCTTGAAAGGGGTAGCTGCAGGTCGGAAGGTGGAACAAGTGATGCCTCGAAGAGAAGTGAAATCTGTTAGCAGGTCGCCTGCCGATATCGAACCCGTATAGATCCAGAGCCCGTTGCCGAGTCAATTCCTTCTTTTGCCTGAGGAGTACTTGCTATGCTCTATTTGGGGTGAGGTATGGCAAAATGGGTTCGCGAATGCTGTCTGCCCAATCTGATGGGTGCCTCGTGATGGCCCTTTGGCCAAGTACCGGTGAGGGTTTCTTATGCCGGCGATTCTAAGACATGAACCCAACCCAGCTGTCCAGTGGAGGATGTAGCTGTAGGTCTGGCTCACCGCTGCCTTAGATGGCCCATTGCCTCGAACAGAGACGGCTTTTGGCAAACAGGGGAGTTTTCTAAATCTTTCTGTCGGATGTCGTTCAGTATCCACTCCGGGTTCCAGGTTGCGCCGCTGGATATATCTGACAAAGGAGATGCTGTGGCGTAGGTTTCCGCAGACGTTAATATTTGTTATTTTTGTAAATATATGTTTTATTTTTACATTTCTTTTCTTTCAGGTTGTCAGAGGCTCAGACGAATGCCCGGAGCAGCGGTAAGCTTGGATAGCTACCCTCATATCCATCTGTTTCTTTTTTCTTTTTTCTTTTTTTTGCCTCCGTCATTGTCTCGCGCCTCCCTGAAGCTTGGTAGAAGCTCTAGAACCGTTTATCTGTGGCTGAGGACCTAATAAGGATCGCTATTCCTGCGAAGTCAGATAAATCCCTTGTCATCTTGCCACCTTCACCGACGCTTTATTCGGGACGACAGTTTTTCATACTTCACTAGTACCTAGAGCCACTGCTGCTTACAAACTCTATCGAGACATGGCATCCATAGAATCGCTTCTGAACCCGCTCCCTGACGCAAGTCAGTTCTCTCTCCCAAGCCCGGCTCCGACGAGCTCCGACGCGGCTCCTTGCAGTGAACCACGTCAGAAGAAACCGAAGATCGCGAAAGATGCTCCCATCTTCAACAGGGGAAAAATTAGGGGAGAGCTGCGGTATCCGCCCTGTGAGGAACGCGACGAAGCGTTAACCCAAGCGCATCGCAAGTTCCAACTCCAACCCATGGGGGATATTGCCGAATATCCTAGACACATACCCTATAACAGCGACAAGAAGACGTTCCAAGAGAAGACCGGACGGGAAAGCTTTGAAGGTATGTCGTACTTGTATGCGCACGAAGACAGCGATTCTGATATCTACAGTGTTCCAGTATACGTTCAAGATCCCGGGCCAAGAGAAGCAATGGACAGTGACGTGGGACTATAACATCGGGCTTGTCCGTACAACGCATCTTTTCAAGTGTCAACAATACTCCAAGGTATGTATGCCCATGACACCTGACACGGAATCGAACTCACCGGAGGATTTTAGACCACTCCTGCCAAAGTCCTGAATGCGAACCCCGGTCTTCGCGACATCTGTCACAGTATCACAGGCGGGGCGCTCGCAGCACAAGGTACCGATCATTTCCCATTGCCCATCGTTCCAAACCAACTAACTTTGGACAGGATACTGGATGCCCTTCGAAACCGCAAAGGCTGTTGCTGCAACATTCTGCTGGAATATCCGCCACGCGCTCACGCCGCTGTTCGGCGTTGACTTCCCATCCCTATGCGTGCCCCCCACCAACACCAGTCAATATGGACACATGCTCATAGATCGGGACATCGTGCAAAAGGCGACCGACACCGCGAACTACTACCGAATGCTCGAGCTTCACTCTCCGGAAGTCACCTCCCTCCCACCTATCTTGCACCATAATACACACCCCCATGGCGAGCCCGATCGCTCTGCCTCATCGCTGGACTGCAACACCCCAGACACATATAATGGGATGCCAAACAGTCCGATCCGCAACACATTCACCCCGGTGAACACACCCTGCAGCACGGAAGCAGCGTCTTCGAGCCCACGGCAGGTCCTGGCTGCTCTTTCGAGAGTGCGCAGCAAAACCAACGACGACAGTGGTTCTGAGGGAACACATTCCTCTACCCCGTACTCTGAGAGTATGGACACACCGACCGAGGGTCTATCCGACACTGATGATGAGTATCACGCCAGCGACGGTGGCGATGGCCATGCCATCCGGCCGCAGGATACAACGACTGATGATGATGAATACAATATCGAGACGCGCGCTCGGAAGTACAGATCGGCGCTCTTCGCCCGGGAGGTGAAGGCTGCACATGCGCTGCTTAGTCTATGCATGCAGGAGGCAACCGGCAGTGACGAAGAGTATGTCTGGGTTGACAGGGAGCGAAAGAGACGCAGGGCGTCTGCTTAGCTGGTCTTCATAGTATACTGGTTTGCTTATTTACTTACCGTGAGGACGCGGGACGAGAAACGAGAAACATAGACAGGTCGGCGTTAGGTCTTGTATTGTGTAGTGATTGACTTGAATTAAACATTTTATTATGATTAACATATCTATATCTACTCATCTAGTCATCTATCTATGTATTGATCCATCTCTACACCCAATGCATAGATATCACAATCCCCCCCCCTTCCCCCTTCTCCATTCTCAACCCTCAATCACCAACCAACCCCCCCAAACAAAGAAAGAAAAAAAAAAACCCTAAGAATCCACCGCAAAACGCGACCACCCCCTAATCTTCACCCCCCAATACCAAAAAACATACGGCACGGGGGTCATCAAGACACTAATACACGCCAAGATGGTAAGCGTATACTGGACGCCCAGGTTACGATAGAACGGGATGCCGACGACGGTCATGCCGCCTGCAGCACAGTACCGCGACACAGTCATGAAGCCCAGCGCGGAGGCCGCGTAGATGTCGTAGCTGTCGATCACGTACATGTAGCTGGAGATGAAGACGGTGATGGTCCCGAAGCCGAAGACGGCGGAGGCGATGATTGGGGACCAGATTGAGATGTGGTTCTATATTTTTTTTAATTAGTTTTGGGAGATTGATTTTAGGGGTTGTCATGCTGGGGGATAGGATATTGGGGGAGAGAGGCGAAGGTTTGTGGTTGTAACTTACGTAGTCTGTCCAGCCCATCCAGAATAATCCGATGGGAATGAATGGGGCGCCAAGCATGGCGAACCAGAGCCTGTTTTCGGGTCTTGTTGGGTGGGGGGTTTTCTTGGTATTTTCTTCTTGTTGTTGGTTGTCGTCTTCTTGGGATCCTTCTAAGCTGACGGTTGCATCTGTTCCTGGTCTCGAGACCCCAGTGTTAGAAGAAGAAGTAGCAGTAGTAGTAGAAGCAGCTTCAAACTCCCTCTTAGTCCACACATAAACAACAGGAACCCACAGCCCCGCCGCGGCAATGCCGACATACATCGCGACCCAGACGATATTGGTCAACCCCTGGCTGAGGCCATACACGTCCTGGAAGATGAAGGGATACCCGTCGAAGAAGGTAAACAAGACGATATAGATGACGGTCATGTAGAGCGAGATGAGCAGGATAATGGGTTCGTGGACGGTGAGCGCAAACTGGCGTTTGCAGGCGCCGAGAATGCGGTCGAGGAGGGCGATCTTCTGGACGTCCATTTGGGAGCGGTAGCGGTTGTCGCCGGTGACCTGGCGCAGGTGGGCGGCTTTCCACTTTAACAGGAGGGGCCCGTACGTCTCGGGCTGGAAGAGGAGGATGAGGCCCATAACCAGGCCGGACATGATCAGCATGATCCAGTTGGTCCAGCGCCAGGAGAGCGTGCCCTGGCCCATATAGGAGGCGATGACGGGGCCGAAGATGGGCCCGCCGAAGGAGGTGATGGCGTAGAGCGGGAAGGTGAGGGTTTTCTCGAGCGGGTTCCAGAGGTCGGCGATGGTGCCGCCGGCACAGGTGAGGGGCGGGCAGCCGAAGACGCCGGCCAGGAAGCGGAAGGCGAGCTGGGCGCCGATGTTGGGGGCGAGGCCGCTGGCCATGATGAAGATCATGAAGAGGGTGAGGGAGCCGATGTAGACGGCGTTGCGGCCGAGGATTTCAGACAAGGGCCCTGAGACGAGGGAACCGGCGGCGAAGCCGAGGAGGTAGATGCCTGTGGCGAGCGAGGCGACGACCTCGCTGACGTTGACGCCGCGGCATTTTGGGGGATCACGGCGGATTCGATGGATGATGCGGCGCCGACTGCAAAGGCGAGGGCGGAGACGACCAGGGTGGCCGTGATTCGCGTGGTCATGCTATAATTGCGCGGATTCATGGGATCCTGGCCCTGCTCCCAGTCTACGAGGAAGACTGACGAGGGTGTCCCGCTGCTGTCTGTGATGTCTCTGCGCTGTACGCCGGGGGGCAGCGCCAGTGGCCGCGATTCAGGTCTCTTCTCCCAGACAGTCTCGTCATTTTCGCTGGTATTGCCGCTGGTACCTTTGCTTTCGCCTGGTATGCTCTGGCCCCATTCCGGATGGTCTGCAAATTGCTTGCGCACGGCCTGGCCGATGCGACGATACTGGAGATAGGACTGCATGGTACGAGAGTCAGTACTGGCCACTGTTCAGGAAAGAAAGCGAGGAAATCGCACTCAATATAGGGCCTGTGAGCTGCTGAATAATAGAATGGGGCCATTTTTTCTATCTCGGATTTACAGTGGAGCGATTTGACAGTTGTAGTGGGCTGGAGCCAGCAGGGCCCAGCAGGATCCAGTGTGATAAGACAAGACCGTGATTGTTGCTGCATGGAAACCCTTCAAGACTACCTGAATGGGTTATCGGGCCCGCCTCCCTACGGCCGATGTACCGAGTCGGAGAAAAAGAGCTTGTCGTGGGGCTTCGGACTTCGCGCCGGCTTACAAATGGCTGGTTCGTGCTCGGTGGTAAATGCCTTATATTACTGCTATCCCCTAAGGCCGAAGCAATCCTGAGGAAACGCCAAATTACAAATTCAAGAAACACAAGAGAAAGAGAAAGAGAAAGAGAGATATCGAACACAATAACAATGGCGGCAATAGCCTGGCACCATCACGAAATGAAGTCTAGACGCTCAACGTCTCCCCATCACCTCGCCACCTCACTCGCTGTCCTCGAAATCATCTTCCGAGGCGTCTCCTCCGTCCTCGCTGTCATCCTCGATCACGTACGTTTTCTTGGCTGCTGCAGTCCGTCGCGCAGGCCGACCAGCGGGTTTCCGAGCAGGACGCACCTCTTCATCTTCGGAATCGGCGGCCTTCTTGCCCCCAGCGGGAGAGTCCAAGATATCATTGGCCATGGCGTCAATATCGTCATCGGACAAGTCATCCGCTAACTGTTTCTTCCGGGCAGTGGTTTTCGCTTGCTTGGAAGCGTATGCCTTGGCAGCAGGGGACAGAGTGGTTTGTTTGGTGGCTACAGCCGGCTTAGCGACAGCAGCAGCATCCTTCTTGGGACGACCGCGCGCCTTCGTAGCGGTCGGCTTGGCGGCAGTGGCTGCCGCCTTGCCCCTTGCGGCGGGCTTAGCTTTCGCGGCGGGCTTCACAGGCTCATCGTCATCCTCGTCGGCGACGTTATCATCCGACACCTTCACTTCCTTGGGCTTCACTAGCAGCGATCGCCGTGGAGATTTTGAGGGCAAGAGTTTCCCGTAATCAGTCTCATCGTCGAGATCAGACGAGATCCTCGATGTCTTGGGAGGCTGGTCTGCAACCCAGAGCTGCTTCCGGGCTGATGCTCGGAGAAAAGCAGACGGGAGTCGGCCGTAGTGCTGTCTTTGGCGCCGATGCCCTTGACCATTTGGCTGACATCACCCAGGAGATCATCTCCGTTGTCACTGTCAGAGTCGCTCAAGGTATACTTGACAGGTTTGCGAGACCGGCTAGGGGGAGCGGACGACTTGGCAGCCTCGGCCTTCGTGATCTCCATGAAGTCGTCATCATCAAGATCGTCCTCGTCCTCGTCGTCCTTGGGCTTAGGCTTAGGCTTGGCCTTGGCCGCTGGACGGCCTCTCTTGGGAGGTGCCTCGACTTCCATTACATCCTCATCCACTTCTTTCGCTTTGGAAGCGGTTTTAGCGGCGGCTTTGGGTGCTGCACGACTCTTCTTAGGAATGACCTCTTCGACTTCTGATAGACCCATATCCTCATCTTCATCCTCCTCCTTGGGAGACTTAGACGCTCCACGGTTTTTCTTGGGAATTACTTCCAGATCGAAGTCGTCGTCGAAGTCATCTTCCTCCTTGGGCGGGGATTTAGACTTCGCTGCCGGCTTGTTCAGGTAACTGAGGAGGCCTCCCTTAGGCGCAGCTTCTTGGCCGCAGCGGATTTCTTCGTCTTAGGCGCAGCAAAGTCCTCATCATCCGGATCATCTCCAAGGGCGGCCTTGCGCTTCTTCGCTCCTGCTCCACGGCCCGCCGTCGTCATGAGCTTCGAGGAGGTGCGCCGACCCATCATAGCCACCTTACGCAGGCGACGATGTTCATCCTCGAGCTGGAATCTCCATTCAGCGATGAACTCATCCAGGTCATGCTTCCAGATATCTTCCTTGGACATCTTGATCAACGCGTCGACCTCAACCTCCTTGTCGCCAATCTGGCGGCGGAGCTTTTCGACACGCTCCTGCGTCAAAGACCAAATGGGCATGCCCAAAAGGTAGTCGTAGGCATTAGAGAGGACTTCGGTGTCCTGAGAGTCAGACTCCTCGCTCTCTTCCTCGACGACCGGTTCTTGTTCTCCAGCCTTGACGGCTTCGGCCACCTTAGGGAATGCCTTGTACCCTTGATCTTTCAGTTCCTGGACCAGGACAGTCTTCTTCTTCTTGGAGATGACCAACTTCCCATCGATGATCTCCTGGACGAACCGCGCCTGGTTGCTGAGCTTGTCGAGCTCCTTTTGGAGCTGCGAGAGCTGATGCTGCTTGCGCTTCTCGTAGAACTTTAGGCGATAGGTATAGAATTCCTTGAGGATGTCCCCAACCGTGGCATACTTCGTGATGCGACCTTCTGGGTCGAAAGCCACCAAGTTGGTGGTCGCCACCGTTTTAGACAACTTGAACTTCTCCTCTAAGCCTTCCGACAGAGCACCCTTCATGTTCTTCTCATCCAACTGGATGACGAAATGTACCTTGGTATGGGTGTTGTAGTCCTTGTAGTCTTTGATGAATGAGGGGGCCTTTTCAGCTTTGATGATCTCCTCCAGCTTGTCCTTGAAGTCCTGGGTCCAGGTCCGGATAGGAAGTTCGGTGATTTCAACTTCCTTCTCGCCGGTCTCTTTGATGATACCACTGAACTTGTAGCGATCGCCACCGATATCGGTAACTTCACCGGTGAATCCGCGGAACCATGGCTGCATGGGTCGGATTTCTTCTCCGTCCATAAGTCTCTTGAGGTTGTCCACGATGTCCTCGGGGTTGTAGTTGGGGATGGATGAACTCCAGCCGGTACCGATACCGTCAGTACCGTTGACCAGGAGCATGGGAACCACGGGCACGTAGACTTCCGGCTCAATCTTGGCCCCGTCATCCTCATTGTACGTAAGTAGGGGATCGTCATGAGGATGGAAGACACGTCGGGCGAACGGCGACAGACGAGTGTAGATATAACGAGCACTGGCAGCGTCGGATCCACCCTGAAGACGACTACCAAAGTTGCCACTGGGCTCCAGACAGTTGACGTTGTTGGACCCAACGAAGCTCTGTGCCAGAGCGACGATGGTCTGCTGCAGGGAGGCGTCACCGTGTTGATACGCAGTCATACCCGAAACGTGACCCGCCAACTCGACCACCTTCATATCCTTCTTCAAGTTGCGGCGGAAACAGGTATAGAGAACCTTACGTTGACCGGGCTTGAGGCCATCCACGACTGAAGGAATCGAACGGATATTGTCCGCCATACTGAACAGGATGAGCTCCTTGTTGATGAAGTCGGTGTAAGTAATCTTGGACACGGAGTGATCCAAGAAAGTACCTGGCTTGAACTGACGCAACCATTCCTTTCGCTCATCGGCCTTCTTCTTGGAGAACGCAAGCTCAATCAGCCCCACCTCGTTGTCCTGCATGGTGTGGAACTCCTTGAGATGGCGGTCAAGGTCACGGAAGTAGACTTGTGCATCTTCGGTGGTACTGGTACCCAAACCCTTGTAGTACTTGTGGTCCCAGCCGCGTTCGTGCCTGTGCTCCTCTTTCCAGGCTTCATACTCAGGCATGGTAAAGAACGAGCGCTGTTTCGTCGGATTTTTCGGGTCACCCTTCCACACTTTAATAATAGGGGTGATAAACTCGATGAGAAACTCGGGAATCTTCAACAAGCTCGGGAATTGAGCTTGCAAAAAGTTAATGAGCAAACCCTTAATGTGAGAACCATCATGATCCTGATCGGTCATGATCATCAAGTGTCCATAACGCAGCCCACGGGTGTCCGTGTATTCTTTCTTGTGCTGCAAACCAAGGAAGTTTTTAATGTTCTGAATTTCTGCGTTCTTCGAGATCTGTTCGAAAGTGGCATCACGGACGTTGAGCAGCTTTCCTCGAAGGGGGAAAACACCAAAGAGATCTGGACCGACCACCGCACGGCCGGCCATGGCCAGACCCTTGGCCGAGTCACCTTCTGTCAGAATCAGGGTACAATGATGGCCATCCTTGGTACCAGCCTTGTTTGCATCGGTCAGCTTGGGATTGTTCATGCGAGTGCGGCGACCACCATCGGTCTTCTTCAGCATCTGGTCGGCCTTTTGCTGAGCGAAATGCAGAATATTCGACATGACGTCCGTCTTCAAGATCTTCTTGTAGAAGTCATCTTCGAGAACACATTTGCTGCCAAATTGAGATGACTTGGTGGTCAGCTGCTCCTTGGTTTGAGAGGTGAAGGCCGGGTTGACAATCAGCGCGTTGACGAAAATGAAGATGTGATTCCGAATCTGAGCTGGCTTCAACGTGGCACCATTCTTGTTCTTTTTCTTCACTTGATCGGCCAATTTGGAACAGATCTGGTCGGCAATGTAGTTGACGTGGGTACCACCGGAGGTCGTCGCAATGGAGTTCACGAACGACACCTGCTGGAAGGAACCGTCCGAGACAGCAAAGCCAACCTCCCAGCGAGGATCGGGGCTGCAGGTGATGATCTCATCCTTGGGAGCAGGGCCATCATCCCCACGTTCCCGGCGAATCGCCTTGGTGTACATTTCCATGTACTTCTTGAAGTTGCGGACGGGCACCCGGCTACCGTTCAACTTGACCGCCACTTTCGCGGTTCCCGCCAAATCGTAAATACGACGCTTCACAAGGGCCTCGAAATCGTTATCCATGCCGTCCATTCCAAACTTGGCGTAATCTGGCTTAAAGGTGACCTTGGTGTAGTCGTCGCCCTTGGCGTCGGTAATCTTCGCCTTGCCCATCTTTGTCATGTTGTTGGTCCATGTTTGCTTGTATTTCTTCTTCTGCCGCGAGTCCTGAGTCTCGATGCTGAACTCGGTGGAGAAGACGTTACAGAGCTTGGCACCGTAACCGTTACGACCACCAGTGACCTTCTGCTGGGTATCATCGTAGTTGGACGAGGTGAGCAAATGACCGAAAATGAGTTCCGGCACGTAAATCTTCTCCTTCGCGTGCATCTCGATTGGAATACCGCGGCCGTTGTTCCACACGCTGATTTCACCGGTTTCCCGGTTAATGGTGACACGCATTTCATCCATATTAGAATCATTTTGTTTGTTATCGGCGGCGTTCACGACGATTTCATCGAAAATCTTGTAGAGACCAGGGACATACGAGACCTCACGGTACTCCATCCCCTCCGACTCCGAACTGTACACCCACATTAATTGTGAAGTACGTTCGATGGACCCGATATATGTATCCGGACGTTTAATGATATGTTCAAGTTGTGTAAGCTGCATCTTTGGTTAGCTCGCGACTGGCAATTGTCCGGGACGCAACTTGCCTTCTGGTACTTCTCTGATACGTTCGAGTCCTTCGAGTCCTTGGGGCCGGCGTCAGCATCGTTCGTGAAGGATTCATTTTCCAGGTCTGCGAGAGGCTTGGAGCCGCCCTTCTTCGCTGCGGGGGCTTTCTTCGCCTTCTTCGGGGGTGTATGTGACAGGACGGAGTCGTCATCATCGAGCTGATCGCCGTCTGACATGTCGTCGTCGTCGTCGCTGTCCGGCTTGGCGCGCTTCTTTGAAGCCGCGGCCTTTCCGGTCGCTTTGCTTGTGAGGGTTGTTTGCGTCATCTTCTTAGGCGCAGTTGCTTTCTTGGGGGCCGCCTTCGCCTTGGGCTTCTATGCGACTGTCAGTATTTACAAATGGATTGAGCAACATGAGAGTCCAACATACGGGGGCTGGCTCAAAGTCAGAGCTTCCGTCATCCTCAAAGACGGAATCATCCAATATCGAATCGTCCATGGTGAGAAAAGTGAACAGTTAGGAAGAAATTACAGATTGAACGTGCGCAACGAATGACAAGAAAAAATTAGAAAAATAGAAGAGAGGGCATATGAACCCTCTCAAGAAGGAAGAGAAGCTGCGTGGCGTTGGGGATAAACAAACAAACCACAGTAAAGTCCCCCAGTCAGAAACTCCTCCTTTGTCGTCGCTTGTGTTGATTTTCTGTTGTTGACGCGCCGATAGCGACTGATGGGTGGATGGCAGAAACTGTCTTTCCGCCATCGGTTCAGCGTTGTTCCGCCCCGTGGTGGCGGAGCTTTGGCCGCAATGGGCAATCCCTAAACACTTGCGCCCGAACAGGAAACCGTAACCAAAACATCCAGGGGGCGCGGGGGAGGGGAAGTCCGTCTGGACACGAACCAGACAAGATTTCTGAACATCGCGAGGGTACGGAGTCCTCCGGAGTACGCGGCTATCCTTATCTTTTGTCATTGTACTATTCTCTCACCTTTTGTATAAGAAAATAGGGCTACGTGATTCGTTACAGTCTTCTACACCCAGTTTCCCTAGACAACCAGATTGATCAATATGATCCATACAGAAGTATTGCTCATGTTACACAACACAGTGTCGATGTATCCTTTGTGTTTGACTGAAAGGCTCTGATCCTGTCTTAGAACAGAAAGAAAATTCTATATCTAGAACGATAATGGCTGTTCGGCTCTGTAGTACGACCAGTGGGTTCAGCGGATATTTACCCCTTTCCGGAAAGATATATTTGTACACAACAGCACTAACTGCCTCCAAACGGCCGAAGCTATAGCCAAGCACTCTAACTGCTCGAGTCACTAGCCCGTTGGAGTTAGCTCTGTAGAGAATGAATGTTCTAAAGTTATGATGGAAGTTTCCATTGTTATTACTTCCGCATGCTTCATAATTCTCCTTTTACTGTTTAATTATCTGAGGATATTAATATTAATTACCTAGGTAATCTAAAGAGAAGTTGCCCAACGGCGAGCAAACCAGGCTGGCCTTGGCATACAATACCCGATACAGAGGATATTACATGGTGGCCAATGATGTCGCGCCAGGGATCACACCAGCCAATCAATCTGAGCGCCATCATACCCGAAACGCATGAAACTCGTTATTGGGCAGTATTATTACATTCAGGGGAAAGCGCCATTAACGAGCCAGTCATGGAATTTCTATTGTCTGTACAGTGGATTGGCCCTCAAGGGACTACATGCAGGTACAGTACAGACATACAGTACTAGTACAGTATGCCACACAGGGCTCATGGGGAGTCAAAGTAAAGTGCAAACAGGCCAGCAACAATCGATATGATCATCGCCGCAATGACTTCCTCGGGGGTTCCATGTCCAAGCTCTAAGTCGTCGTCTCCTCACCGTATCGAAGTGGATAACCACACCCATCACCTGCAGGGTTCAAAATTGTTATGGACCATTATAGTGCAGTGGAGACTCGGTCTGGATCGACCGGATCCAGAGAATCCCAGGGCACCCACTGATTCCACGGCGTTTCCATAGGGTTTCTTTCGTCTTGAATTTCGGAGATTACCCCCCCCCTCAATACAATAGATTGACGTTGGTATGAGAATGAGGGTTAAGTGGTCCATCCATGGTCGGTCGAGATTCGAGAATGAGAAGATCTATTTTCGGGGTTGGAGACTTGGAGTGCCCCGGCCGTATTCCATGGTTCGGTTCAGGGTGGAAGTAGCCTGGAGGTACCGAGTACCTGATCTAGGCGGTGGATCGAGTATGGTATCATGTCTACCAACTCACAATCCTTACAGTTCCGCACGATGAGAGTCACAAAGAAGAAGAGGAAATCCATGAGGAGAGAAGCGGAGATAATTATTGAAAGTGATCGGCAGACGAGACTCTTAGGGACTCGGGGGGGGGACGAAAGTGCTAATTATTTGAATTTCCCCTGAGGTTGGCTGTCATGACCGTGTACTAACGACTATGGAAATACTAGCGGGTTTAGTACGATTGTAGCGACCGACACTAATTACTCAAGCTAAACAACTTTCTACATTGCTGTCATTATTTCTTCCTCAGGAGTCCGATCACTCAACTTTCTTCCCCCCTTCTCTTTCTCTTGGGATTTTTTTTATTTTATTTTGTGCTTGACTTGTCTTCCACTCGTTCTGCACCCCGCTACGATATCACCGTCTTTCCCATTCACTGTGGTCGCACTCAGAAATGCTGTCATTATTGACAGCCACTGCTTTGATTGATCGTCGCCACTCTTCTTATCGTCTGCTCGCTCTCCGTTAGCCCCTCGTTCCCCTCAAACCCCGTCATCTCATCAGCGCCAGAAACTCCCCTGAGGGATGAGCTATTGACCTCCATAATTCTATATCAAAATTTAAAAACAAGAAAGAAAAGGCAACTCGGACATCATGGACAACTCCGAGCCCACCACCCAAATCCATTCGCCCGGCGTGCCGAAGAATATCCCTACGATTCATCAACATTCCGACTCAATGGTGACCGTCCCCTTATCCGACGTACAATCGAGTTCCGAGCATACACAGCCCGATTGGCGGACGCTTGACATTCCTCAGACCCCGATCGAAGTGACGTCGCCACCGGGAGACAGCGTAAATGCGGATGACCCGACGAATACCACACCCACACGAGACTCGGAACAACCGATTCTGCAACCCCGTACATACCGCGCCTCGGTTGTTTCACGAAGTAGCGAAGAAATCTTCCGCGGCGAGGTCGAGGGTGTGGACTGGAGGGAATTGGACAAATCCGAAGAGCAGGAACCGCGTGGGGAGGGGTCCGATGAGGTGCGTATCATACGATGTTGATGGGCGGTAAAAAAGCAGGGCAGAAGGAATTGACCAGTTTTAGTCTACCTCGCTTCTCTTAGCTCGGCTGGAGCAGGAAAACAATGCCCTGGCAACTGATCCTAAGTCGAGGTTGCAAGCACAGCAGTTTCGCGGAGTGAGGAAGTCCCGGTCACAGTCATTGCGCCAGGTTAAGCAATTGATCAATGATGATCACCGGTCGCTGCGATACTCCCAACTTCCTCCGCCCCCGTTGACTGAGCTCGAGTTCTGGGCGGCCCTGGTCTCCGATTACCCACAAACGGCGCAGCGACTGCCAACATTGACCTCGAATAAGATCCGCAGTGGGATCCCGCCTCCTCTGCGGGGGGTCGTCTGGCCCAGCTTGGCTGGAGCTCGAGATACGACATTGTTAGCGGAATACCAGCGGCTTTGCGGCGAGACAAGTCCATACGAAGGACTGATCGGGAAAGATATCGGCCGCAGCTTCCCTAATGTGGAGATGTTCCGTGATCCTAACGGGGAGGGACAGCAGATGCTCGCTCGAGTACTCAAGTGTTTCAGTCTGTACGATACCAAAATTGGTTACTGCCAGGGCCTGGGGTTCGTGGTTGGTCCCTTGTTGATGCACATGACAGACGCCGAAGCCTTCTGCGTCCTTGTAAGGTAAGCCAACCTTTGCTCCCCCATGAACTGGAATTAGACTGACGAATTAGGCTCATGGACCACTATGACATGCGCACATGCTACCTTCCGGATCTATCTGGGCTCCATCTCCGTATTTACCAGTTCCAAAATCTTCTCGCCCGTCTTCGCCCGGCCTTATATGCGCACCTGGAATCGCTGCACGTCGAGCCGATCTACGTATCGCAATGGTTCCTATCATTTTTTGCGGTCGCGTGTCCGATGCCGATGCTTCTCCGGATTTACGATGTCATCTTCCTCGAAGGCGCCTGCGAAACTTTGATGCGCGTGGCGTTGTCGCTTATGCAGCGCAATGAGAAAAAGATCATGGCATGCGCAGAGTTTGAAGACGTTATGCAGCTGTTGTTATCGAGGAGCTTATGGGATACGTAAGTCGCAGCTCTTTTCCGCCGGGAGAACCTCTGCCTAACCGAGATAGATATGCTTGCCACGCGGACGATTTCGTTAACGACTTCGTCTCCTTGACGTCGCTGGTTACTAAGGAGAGTCTCCAGACCCTGGAGGCCAGCTACAACCAGTCCCAAGGCGTGCCGACCGGCATTTCCTTCCCCCAGATGCAAGCTGCGGCGTCCCGGTTTCTGGGCCGTTTCTGGGCGGGGTCTAGCTCTCACACCTCTGCCAAGCCGTTTACCCTCAACCCCAACCACGCTAGCTCCTCGGCCAGCATTCGCCGTACCACTTCTAAACAAAGCATGACTTCGACGCTCAATTCAATCGAATCCGCGTCGGATGCGAGCACTGCTCCGACAGATCTGTCCACTGATGCACCGAAGCCGCGTGTCAAGTCCGTCATGTCTCAGCACAAGGATCGCGATCTGCACACGCAGATTGAAGACTTGCTCATGGCACTCAGTGACTTACAGCGACAGCATGCGGACCTCACTCGGGAACTACAACAAGAGCGCGAAGAGCGTGAAGCCGATCGGGAACTGTCTAAATCGATGCTGGGTTACATTAAGGAGCTCGACAGTCCCCCGACCGATCTGATCACCAAGGCGGAAGAACGATTTGGAGCGACCGAGGCCCCTGCTCGAGAATCAATTGGCCAAACCAAGCAGCAGCTTCTGGAAGACCTCAATCGATGGAAGGAGATGCACTCTGTGGAATCCGGCCGGTGTCTTGATTTAACGCGCCGGATTGACGAGCACGAGAAAGAGAATAGCTCACTGCGAGAGCAGGTGCGCGAAGCGCGGGGTCGTATTCAGGATGGCTACCGCGAACGGCAACGGCTCGAACGCATGTTGCGCGAATTGCGCACGGCTCGAAACCCCCGAAGTAGTGCCGAGACACCAACAGATTACGGCTCGCCCGTCAGCGAACCGGGAGAGGGTATCCCAGGCGGACTGCGCGAGCTGAGACTGGTCCGCACCAACTCGCAGAAGAGCACTTTCACCAAAAGGACCAGTAGTCTCGGTTTGCAGAACGTTCTGTCGACGGAAAACAACAAACCGGCTGCAGATGAAGCTCTACTCCTTGAATTGGTCAATGCAAAGACGGCGGAGGCGGTAGCGAAGCAGGAGTTGGAAGAGATGAAGGTGAAAATGGAGGGAATGAGGAAGTTAATCGCCGCGTCTCAGCGATCACCGTCGCAGAACGGCGACCGGAATTCCCTTGTTCGATCCCCTTCGTCCGCGGGCAGTCTCCATAAGGCATCTACGGAGCCCGCTACTGGCGGCGGCGGCGGCTTCTTTGGATGGGGTCGCCGGGCGGCCAGCAACGAACAGTATGCCGAGAAATAATTGCGGGGACTCAGGTGCATATATATGGTTGTGTTTGTTTGTCCTGTCCGAGTGACCTTGCATGGCGGAGTTGGTGTGGTTGGCGTTCATTTGACGCATATATCCCAAGGACTATAGGCTATATTCTGGTGTACATACATGGGAGATCTGAGGGCCTGGTGCATATTGGATTGACTTGTATACCCTCAACTAGTATGTTGCTAAGCATGGCTGGCGGCTAAAACCAAGAAACATCCGGACCAGTTTGGGCTCAGTAACTTCCAAAGACTCTTCTCTCTACCTCGATTCCATTCATGTACGCATTTTATACCCAAATAGTAATTCATCCCGGACATACTCGACCACTAACTGCAAGATCGACAACCAACGGACCGAGTTCCTCGGCCTTGGCACAAATCACCATTCATTTATCCATTTCAATCCCCCTGAAGTTCCCTCAAACATTCACGATAGTCTTTGCTCCAATTCACGTAACAAGATCCAAACCAAGATGCCCACAGCCCTTCAGTCAACAGCCGTAGGCTGGCTCTTAATCTCCCTCGGCCACACGGTACATACACCTCGACCACAAATCCCTAAAAGAAAAAGAAAAAGAAAAAGAAAAAACAAAAACTAACAATAGATATGAAAAAAGCTCTCAGCAAAGGACTGGCAATCCCTCCCCCAAGCCCGCACTCTCCCTAATCTCGCCTACACCTGTGCCCGAGCAGGCTGGTTCCAGGGGAGTGGGTTCTTTCTGATGAACGGTACGTTCTTAAGAACCGAGAATTCGTAACCTCTATTGCTTCCCACACATATAAAAAAAATGAAGAACATGAAATAACGATTGCTAATCACCAAACCCGTAGCTTTGATAAACTACAGCTGGTCGCAAAACCCGGCTCTGTTGAACGACCCTATTAACCGGGCTGTCGCGGCATTGATGACGGCTATTGTGGGGGTTAGCTCCGGGTGGTATTTGAAACGCGGGGTCAAGAGTAACGGCATCGTGGTTGCGCTGATGGGGGCTTTGCAGGCTTGGGCTGCTTTTGGGAATTGATTTTTGTGGTTCACCTGGTAATTATTGAATTCTTGTTCATGCAATGGTTTGTAGGTGTGGTCTTTGCTGGAATTGCATGATATAAGGAATTTCCCTGGTTCGATGGAATGAATGGGCTTATTAACTCTGGATGGGTAATGGGAGATATGTCTTTCTATGGAATTATGAATGGAAGGAAGTTATTGAGTGAACTCAGCCTAGCTATTCATCTAGCCATTCCTGTATAAATACAATGTCCTTGAGTAGTTCATGAACCTCGATATCGACCTGTACGAGACGAGAAAGCGTCTTTTGAACTCTGTGCTTACTTTCATATTCTAACTGAAACTATGCACACTTATATATATACTTTTGACCAGAAGAGGCCTGCCAACAGGTCAAATAGTGGCTTACAACTTGTTTTGTCTCCAAAGACATCAATGAGCCACAACTTACCTTCTTATATCCAACTGGTTGAGAGAGAGAGCGTGCAAATGGCCTGCTGACTTTAAAGCAAAGGAATGCCGCAAAGATATGCTTAGTGATATCTATGGCATCTCCATAAAGCTATGTACGGCTTTCGATAGTGTTGAGACAGTTCATTGTCTATTCGTTCACCGCAAATACCAGCGACTATGGAACTGAGCAACAAGTGCTGGGTGATTTCAAGAGGCTACGGTTCTTTCATCCGGGGACAGCAAACAAAAAAATCGACGTAGCTATGGATCGCTGATCCTCTACGTCATGGCTAGTTCAAAAGAATTATAAACTTATAAGAGCGCCATCGCAACATGGGAAGATACAACCGTCTCAATATTCCTGGACAAAATATTCCCTATACCCGCTCGCTAAGATTGCACTACTGAAATGCCATCACAAAACAGCGTGATGTCTATTAGAAAATGAGCCCCATTCATTACCAATAGTATATTGTGTGGGTGGTTTACTCGAGTTCGCTGCCTCCCAGTCCTACCTCGGTGAGTTTTCCAACTTCACTCCGCTTGCGGACCGACAGAACAATGCTAAAGATCTGTAGGTGCCATGCAATCGCTGCGCCAAGACGCTTTTCGAGAAACCACCAGACGGGATGGTGGACATCTCCTACTCTCAAGACAGCTGTTAGCTTTTTGCAAACATCGCACTTGAGAGATCGATTGTGGGTATCCATTACCTGCGACAAGTATCATGGTTAATCTAGCATTTCTACAGTGCCTGAAGAAAGGTACATCGGCGAAACAGCACTACGAAACTATACTCGCAATTAAGGTTACTGGTGATCTATCTGGCTCGGCAGAGCCATGCCCTCTCCTTCTGACTATGAGCTGTTAAACGGAATCGACTACTGCGGCCATGCGAGCTTCCTGCGTCCGAAATTACCTTTACTTACTTAGCGACTCTGGAAAAGCTGACCAGACGAGGATGTCGAATTTGATGCCTGTACTCAAGTGGGACATACGAAGTCTCGTAGGCAGAGATACCAACAATAGCTAAGTATTGGGGCGAGGATCTCTATGAACGATCCGTCATAGAAATCCTTGTCATACTTGAACCAGCTGGATAGGGTTATGAAGCGTTCAACATGTATGGGAGGTGCCGGCAGATGGATCAGCAGCCCAGGAGGTCTCAGTATCAATTCTACCTGTCAGAGGCCATCAGTCAGTCCTCCTAGTCGCTTTAGCCAAGGAGCATTTTTTCATCCCCAAAAGTATCAGCGTCCAAAACATTTGAGACTCCGAGGAAGTGGGTCTTCTGCCTATCTGAAGACGATCAAGTTGAACGAGAGAGCGTTACCGTCTCCTATAATTCCAAGGCGAAACGTTGTCGATCGATATGCCTTCGTTATTCATACATTTTATGAGCTAATGAGGGATGGATAGATTTTTTAACAAGTCCCGAAGCAGACTTCAAAAGCAAGAAGCTACAGCAAATCTCCGATTAAACCCGCTGAGAGAATGTGGAATGACAGGACTGGTGATGATACAGTTGGGCCGCTTGCTAATGAAACCACCAGCACTGGCTTTTGTTTGTTGCTTCTCAGAATCTGATGAGTAGGGGATATAGAACATCTTTGTGGCTTTTCTGAGCAGAGAGTGGAACGACTTTGTGGCAAGTTCGATACCTTGAAGAACTAGCTATCTGCCATTTCACTTGACCCCCAGAGACATGTTGAACTCAGTATGGACAATCATATTATGGCCTATATGTGTGACCTTGGACCGGTCAACGACGTTGCAAAGATGGGTGAAAGCTATTGCTCATTAGGAAACAGAAACACAACCCTTCAACCCCGGCGTTGCACCCTTTCAGGCGATGGAGCTCAAGCCCTTCTCCGCCTCCCTCGGGTGAAAATCGCCTGCTGCCACCTCCTCCGGAGGAAGACAGCTCCTCTTAAGATGGCTGAAGTTGACTTAGGCTGGTGCCTTCGTTGTCTGCACCGTGTCCTCTATCGACGTGGATATCCTGCCAGCAGCGCTGCTTTTCTGGATCATCGTCATAGATACGACAAAGAAGGCTCTAGCTAGTAGTAGAATACCTGGATTTGCCTGGCTTGGGAGAAGTGGGTAGGGTTTAAGTTTCTCTCTATGCGGTTGTTGATATCGGTACACTTCTTCACACAGCTACGACAACGATAAATACAGGTACAATCCGCTTGTGCCACTATTTCCCCACGAAGACATTATCATGCCGGGGTTAAGGTTTAAAGAAAGATTTTTTGTACACAAGCTGTACAGTTCAAGAGCAATATTGCTGCGAGCCCATCTGTCATAGTCGATCAAGGACCAGATCGAATGGAACACCATTATAGGGAGGGATCCAGTCGCTAAACTCCATATGATATAGAAGCACCAATTTCAGGGCCAGAGCAATTAGCTTACCTTTTACCCGGCAGCCCTAAGATGTGAGCCATGATGCCCATTGTCAAAGACCAGATTCTCCCTTACCGCGAAATGTCCATTGTTTGGTGCAACTCTTCCGCAGGGCAAGTCTTAGTATGCGTGATATTAACTCTTTGCCCTATTGATCGATCGGGGTAGCGACGACGAGATTCCTGGTGACAGAGCACGGCAGAGCTATTGGTAGCCCTGCAACTTGCCTACTTTACGAAGATTGACCGGGTTTTATCAGTGCACAGCTGGAATCATGCTTTATGTAGCTTGCTCGCACCGTCTCAAGGTGTTGATAGCTGTTTTAATGAGGAAGATGGTTGGTGGTCATGGGACGATAAAAACAATCCCAAGTTCGTTTGACCGGGTCAAATATTTCGGGGAAGCTTCTGTTATATCTGTAACGAGCATGTTAAACGATGGCTGTTCGATCAACTCGCCGGTCAGGGGACCACCGAAGCCCTGACCTCGCGGACATACGAGGCAATTTCAAGGGGGCTATATCTTCATCAGTTGAAGGACTATCGTACTAGCCGCCTCGAGAAGTGTGATTTCTGTTACACTCTTGATAGGGCCAGCTACCGCAGAAAAGGCCGAAATTTCCAATACCAAGCTATTAATGAATGAAATATTCCTCGTCTATTTGCCATGAACCCAATCCCTGAACTCGATCTGGACGAACACTTGACATTTCTCAAGCAGACGCCATTTAGAGTGGGAGAGCTTGACTCACTTACGGGCATGTTCTTATGGCTGACAGATATCAGCGTTCTTGAGAACAGCCAACTTCACCTTGATTCTGGTACGGGAAATGTGCCGGGAAGACATCAGGTCCGGGCGCATATAGCTACTCCTTCCGGTGCAACTGAAGGAGAGTATCTACTTGTCTTTCGACGCTTTGTCACCCTTCAGACTGTTCCTGGCTCACCAGACTTGGGACTGGGGTCTATCCGCATCTAAGAAAATAGCTAGACCTGCCGTCCTCGACATGCAGACCGCGATCAACGAAGTCCTACAATCAGGTGTCGAATGACCAGAACGCCAGATTGCCTATCTCAATTCGATCTGGTTCTTCTTTTCAGCTTTCTAGTAAAGGGGTATTCCAGTACTCCCGAACAATATCATTTTGATCAAGGGGTATCCTGGTATAGGAAAGACACACGTTCTTGTTGCGTGTAGTTTCAACACGATACCCAAAAAAACACCATCGCCTTTATCACTCTCAGCTATTACAATGCGGATGCTATTTGCATGTCTATAGTCAGGAAATACATTCGGTCAGGCCATGTATGCACTTCTGAGACCCCAAACCGGAGACCACTCACTCCCTAGCAAAGAACTGCTCATGATAGAGTTAAATATGACGCGTGTTTTTTGCACTGTCTCTGCAGATGCTGACAGCCATGGCATTGGTGATGAAGACTCGCCTATTACTGGATCAGAGGGCGTCTATGGAGGTGGATGACCCATCAACTACTTTCCCGGAGATCATTGGGCGTATATACACTCAGATCTGGCCGTTGGAGCTAGCCGGTCAATTCGAAAATAGACGCTGAGGAGCTTACAGAAAGCGGATCTAATTCGCTGCAAAAGGCGGCTTCGTCCATGCTTTCGCCTGGGAACCATCCTACTTGGTGACGAGCATGGTGCGACAAAGACATTCGTGAACTGCTTCAGCGTTATTCGGGCAGCAGGCGAAAGTGCGATATACAAAGTCTTCTGGGATGGGATGCCGGCCATCGCTAAATATTGGAGCGAGGCTCTTTATGAACAATTCGTCACACAGAGGTCCTGGTCACTTGAGCCAGCCGGACAGAGTTATCAAAGCCTTCAACATGTATGGGAACTGCCGGGTGCTTGACAGATGGTGAACATGTTGGTGTCAAGAAAAAAGTATTGAATAAGTGTCGCGATCTCCTCCTACCCTGGGTCCAAAAGTCAGAGCCTGCTGATTACCTCGAGTTGGTTGATTGCCACTATAATTTGTTATAGTACGTCACTCCTGTATGACAGATGTTGGTAGGGCATATCGAGTCGAAGACACGAGCCATGTATCAACTGGTACTTTTGGCCGAGTGATATTAAGCATGACAACAGATACTGTTGCGGCGGTGTTGAGTAGCCGGGGATGTAGAGTACAACAGACCACACAGGAACTTACGCATCGACGGAACTATATGGATATACCCGTGCGGAATACCAATGACAATATTACTACAAGACCTTTAGACTCAGGAAGGGAACTGAGAACCCCCAAGAAGACTTGTGAGAGATGTTGAGAACGGTATTTTATACAGGCAGAATTGGAACAACAAGGTCATCAAGTAAGCCTGTATCGAACTGGCCGCTCCTTTTAGACCAGAAGGCAATACTCAACAACTCTTTGGAAGAGTAGGTGTGCTTTCCAGATTAAAGAATGAATTCAATACCAAAAGCTAACTGACCAGGACTACGGCAATCCTACATCTGCCTTATCCCTGATTCATGCTCTTGCAATCTGCGCCTCCGTTCAGCGAAGGGTTTAGGTAGGAATCAACATAATTTTCACTCATAAACCATACAGCTATCAGCTCAGCAACAAGAAACTATGCACCAAGTGACATAGACCCGCGCAAACGTACCTCGGTCACTGATTGTACCGTACCTATTTGCTGGACCCTTCCCACTCACTAAATCGTATCCACTTACCATCAAGACGAGAACCAAGCAAACTACCTCACAGAAGAAGTAGTCGCTATAACCTGGACATTACGATGCTTATATTCCTGGGTATCTGTGGAGCTAATTATAAACGAGGACCAGTGCTCAGACCCTAATGCTTTCCGCTCAGCCTTGAGGCTCTAGTCTCTTGTTGAATAAATGGAAGAATGACTGAATTTCGAATGAATTGCTCGAACTAGGGCGCTTAATTTACTGATAATATGCCAGTTATATCTTGGCGAATTGGACACGTTGATGCCGGAGGTAGCATGAGCATTGAGGAGGCTGGCCCGTACTGTACCTTGCAGACCAATACAATTCATAAAACGAAGGCTTCCTTTAAAATCACTATACAAAATCTATGGATGACAATTGAAGAGGGCTAGAACTCACGTATGATTCAAAGAACACCGCAGCCTGCACATATCAAACCAAACAGAGCGTGCCATCTGTTCAGTGTATCCTTACAGAGTGCGCTCAGACGCAAGGCTGAACATGCCATCCCACTTGGGCGAGTATAATCGGGCAGCAAATGGTTACATTATGGGCTCATCAAGAAGAACTTATATATACCTCATTATATCATGTCCTCTAACTTCTGCATCTTGCCTGACACAAATTGAACTTGGAGAGTTGTATCAGTACAGAAACCGCCCGTTCTGCCCTTCTACCTCACCATGCCTAGTCATTCACTGCGCGACTATTTAACTCGGAAAAACCCAACGCTTGATAGTAATAACTCCCTCGATGGCCCTCCTCCCAAATGTGAGGAGAAAGGCTTTTCCGAGATCACGGATTGGAGGGATTTCAACATCGAAAACCTGAATAACTGCTATGGGGATGTCCTAGACAGACACTGGGTAGACCCGCTGCCAGATATTTTTCCAGGGCCTACTGGACTCGAGCAAGAGATCTTCGACGAAGATTCTTTCGAGCATCTTATGACACGGTCTATTGTGCCCCCGGTTAACGAGAGTCTCGCAAGAGCCCTGGAAGATCTACACCCAGATAGATCTGGAATAGCGATCAACATGACTCGTGGTGGAAGAGCAAGAAAATCTAGAAATCCTTCCGCTAGAACATCCGGTACCACGAAATTCCCGGACTGGGCTGGAGCCCAAAGGGCAACTGGAGGCTATCTGAACCTCTGCCCCGGGGAGACCAAATTATCCAAAAAATGGTCATCCAACACACCAGATCGACATGAGTGGTTTTGGCCATTGTTCCAAATAACGACATATTGTGCAGAGGTTTGGGGCACTCGATATGGGTATATCATCACCCAAGATGAAATGGTTGCCGTGAGAATTTCCCGGCAGCCAATTGAATCAGGTATCGCTCTGACACGATCCTGTCGTTAGCCTATACCTATTGTTACTGGATTGTTTGTACCTCGGCAAGCCCTCTCTAGTGACGAAGTAAGCACATCTTCAAGTCAACGAGAAACTGAAGATCGATCAGATGTATCATGTGCCTCCGATGGTTTGTCAGCCATGTCCCTGGATGGCGGAGAAGAAGGTTCAGGCCAGCTTAGTGAGCAATCCGAAGAACAGCAAAGCAGTCCACCGGTGGTACATCAGAGTAGCAGTTCGCCATATAGAGATGATAAAAACGAGGTAGAGTATGTTTTGGAACTGAAATCTATTCCATGGACCGCGCATGGTGATGGAACTCTAACGGTGAAGCTTGCCCTTTGGTGGCTACATATGATGGCAGCTGCACCAGGCTGCGATATATCCATTGCAGATGGGAGATATTTCAGCCTTGATACTTGGATAGAGGAAGGCGATAGCTACCGTCACTCATCAACCGGAAGAATAAGCAGAAGCCTTCCAGCGGATGCCCATCTAGAGAGGCCAAGTGGCTCTTCGACACTCCCAAGGTGCCAGGAAGAGATTGATATCTCTTTTACCAACAGTAGCCCACTTAGTTCAGTTCCAGAGAATCTCCGCACCCCACCTGGAATGAGGTTGAGACAGTGGGCTCACTGAAAAGAGGCACGATGTGTCCACCGCGTTGGTCTGTGAAGATCTTGGCTGTTTGGATGATCCAAGTATCTTGAATGGTCTGTGTGGTTCCTATCATTTTTGTATATCAGAATCCTGCATCCTCTATTTTTGTTGAATTTAACGAAGAATGGAACTGTTGTCTAAGATAACCTGAAGTAATTGATAGTTGGGAGAGTCAACGTGGGCGGATCATAATTTCTCCTTTTCGGAGTAAATACAGCCTTAGGCTGCGTGCGACACGTGCCCGCGGCGGAACAATCGTAACAACGATACGTCCGCTAGGAGTCTCAAGGGGTAGACTCCACCGAGGTATGTGAAGCATTCAAAGACACCAGTCACAAAAGTGCTCTTGCTCTATGTAAGCTGCTACATGTCCAAGCTTGCTTTCCTCGTGGCTTTGCCCCACTAGTTGTGACAAGCGAGTTTTGCCGTTCTCTCGCCTCCTCGAGTATATACCAAAATGGATGATAGCATGATCGGTCGCTTTCTCTCCGAGCTCCCTTGGGATGATCCGTCTCGCAAGCCTCGTGGAAGGCCTATGCTGCGCCGCTTCGTCCATTACGACAAACACATTAGCTATCAAGAGCTACTTGGTTGCGGGGGAGAGGGTGTCGTTTACAGAGTGTATATTGAAGGGAAACAATATGCACTTAAGATCGTATGTTCCCTTGATAGCACTCCCTTGGGCCTGTCCTAATTTCCCGTGCTAGTTTCAAACGTGGACGTATAAGCCAGACTACTGCCGTTCAATTGGCGTGTCAAAATGTCACTGGCCATACATTACGTCATTCTCCCACGAATGCCGTGCCTTGCCCGCCTGGATAGCATGGGTGAGAACGGCACTTGGGCAGTCAAATGCCACGGGTGGATTAAACTATCCGATGAGCAGTTCCGACCCGTCCAGCGAAAGTGGAGCACCAAAAGATATTCCCGCTGGGCCATCGTCAAGGACTACCTCCCGGACCGGGTAGCCTTATCTGATATTCCAGATATAAAGCGTAAGATGGTAATCGCGAGAAGAGCTAGACTATTCCCAGGTGATGCCGAGCCAAAGAACTATCGTGGCTCATTTTTGGTGGATCTTGGTCGTACCAAAACATGGCCATACATAGAGTTTATCTGGTCAGATAAACGACGCAGAGCGTTCTTTGACAACTTCGAAAGATATCTCAAGTGCTGGGTTCTTTGTGACCTTAATGGTAGGAGGGTGTCGGAAGAGGAAGCCTCTCGCTACGCAACAAACCCAGAGCAATTTATGGTGGACTTTGATTGCCGGGTCGCTTTGTACGACGATTCATGGCCGAATCCTTTCAGATAATGATGTATGACTGAGTAGCTGGGTGGTGGGTTTGCCAACGGTCGTCTATCGCCCTTGGACTCCACGCTGTGAGGGTTCTTGTGCTTTTCTGGGCAACATCATGTTATTTCTGATTCCCATCGACTGAAACAACTTTAATATGCCTATCCTCTATAGTAGCAAGCTCTAAAATTTCTCCTGAAACGTAAAGCAGGAACTGCGGATACCGGACCTCTCGCAGAAGCCTTAAGAAGTGGAACTATTAATTTGTTGCGAGCTCTTGCCTATGCATCAGCATGCGAGGGAAATGGGAAGAAACGTCGATGCGAAACAATGCTATAATATTTTGAGACTAGTAATTATCTTGATTTTGAGCACCCGTTCCCCGTGACTAATCGGGCTATATTCTGAGTATGCAATTGCTTGGAGGCTTGCGTTGTCTAATAACATCCAATCTTGTAACCAAAGGGTAACTATTCCTTGGATTGACAACGTCCCCATGCTTCCTAACTCTTGCAAAGCGACAAAGGCTAAAGAAGGAAGGGTAGTGGGGAATATGGAGTGAATGCATGCCGGACTTTGATCACAGACCAGTTCATGCCTGTGAGCAATATAATTGACAATGGCTAAATTGTAGCCGTAGTGGTGTGAAGAGACTCGAGGATTAATTGACCAACGTTACAGCATTGATACCTGATATATCGAATGAAATGGCTAGAATACTATAACAAGGTATAATTCACACTTCGTAATGTCAGAGTCTATGCTAGATGACAGCTGCACATAGTAAGAACGACTTGATTGTAGGTGTATGTGAGGAGCTGAAGATTGCCAATACTAGTTCGTTTATTCTTTTCTGGAATGGTTGTGGTACACGATTCAAAGCCATAACTGAATACATCGGGATCCGATTCGCTTCAGCCTCCTGGACCCTGTTTTGGTCTCAAGGGAATTAGTCACCCACTATCTAGATTGGTCTACTATCAGAGGCGAGCTTTCACCCTCGGCAGCAGGCTTTTTCTGTATGGATAGTCACATATCATAATCAGTGCTCAGGATGCAAGCGTAGACGTATGGGTAGCTACTGCAGATCAACATGATTAACTCGTCACATTGCGACTAAGGAGCAATGCCCACAGCCGAGCCAATCGTGCCCTAAGCAAGGAGGGCTCTGTGTGGTAGTGTTTCGCCACGTACTCGTACCTGTGTCTAGGTCCTGTAGCCTCGATCGTGAAATGGTGGCGTTCTAGTTTTAGCTGAATGCAACATTCTTACAATAATAGCCGATCAACTGCATATGATGTTGCTGCTCTTGAATGAACATCTGAGTAGAACGGAGTCACTATACTGCACGGATATCATGATCTGACCGACAAATAGCTACAGACTCTGGTGTAGTTAGGGTAACATGCAACGTAGTTATGGATGGTACTACTCACCAGCAACCGGTATATGTTTCCACGCCCAAAACAAGCCATCATCTCAGCCACTCGTAAATGTCTTAAAGTATGCTGGCATCCACAACCATTTCCCAATCGCTTGTGCTATATTGATCTAGGTCCGAGGAGCGGACCCTGACACTTTCTAAGACATAGAGCAATAGTTCCATGCAATTCCTTACTTGGCTGGGCCATCATTTGCCGTAAAGGGAAAAGTTAAGAGAAAAGAAGCAGGCAAACATGGGTTCAAACAGAACACGAAATAGAGGATTCAGCTTGGGAGACTCGCAGTTTTTTGGCTGGGCAGAGATAGCCAGATGCCGGAATCCCTCAATTTGGAAGAGCGATAGACTCGTTACAGCTGTACAAGTGGTCTATTTAAAGGTCTAAGCTGCCATGTATTTTCAACTCATCTTTCCATCTCATCAAGAGATTCACATTTTGCGCAAGCTCCACATCCCCAAAGCACAAAGATAAACCCTCCTTGACAACGCAACTACGTCGATTACCGAGAAAATGACTACCACCTACACGATCAATTTTCAAAATAAGCGTGGCGCTGATAGCAACTATGCCGTCTTCATGGAGCCTCCAGTTCTCAGCAGTTCTGGAACCTCTCCGGATGTCTTCATGAATGTCTGGTATTCCACGTTTGTTCCCAACAACGGGTACTTCGATATCAAAACTGGTGTTGATTACTATGCGTGTAGGTGATTGAGCAAGCTATCTGGATCGCAATCGATGTTGAGTCGGCTTGGCAGATTGTCATAGCTGTAACTAACAGTTATCTTCCCAGGGGTCGGAACCGCCACTGCCAAACCTGCACCAGGAGTGATGGTTAATACTGGGATGAGCTTGCCAGCTCGCCTGGGCCAAGGCACGACGGCTGGAGGTATGTGTCATTGTATCAATGGAGACATCCAGAGAGAATCTATTCTAATTTACTCATGCTGTTTTACGTTGTAGACACGTTCAACATGGTGATCAAACGCAACTTTCCTACAATAGCGCAATCCACTCCTAGGGCGGTCGCGAGTGCGTACGAGATCGACACGGGGACGGACTTTCCAGTTCCAAATGAGAGATATTTAATTGGTCTTGGAAAGGTCAACAACCGTGGAGTGGTTGCTCCTGTTGCCTCAGTATGTCTCGTCTTTATCGATGCCTGACTGCTTGTGAACATCATAATGGCAACTGACATGATGGCATTCTAGACCAACCCTTTCAACAACATGAAGATCCAGCTCACTCCAAAGATGAAGTTCTACATCCTGGAGAGCACTTTCGAGGCGGGTGTCATTGTCGACTACCAGTCTGTTACCCGGGAAGCTGCCGTGATTGACTTTACCTCAGGCCAAGGTGCTGGGAAGTTCTACGCTGTTGTCACCCAGGACGATACCGGAAATTTCACCGTCCAATACTTTGACAACTATTAGGAGGTAGTCAGTTCTGCGACGGCTATGCTTTGGTCCTGGTCTTCCTCTTGGCTGGTGGTGATTAGTACTGTGTACCCGCGTACGTAGATAGCTTCGAGTCGTAAATGGAGAAGCGTTGATGTCATTTGATGACATACGTTCAGGCAGCCTCTAATGAGTAGATAATCTACTATGTACTTCTGTCTGCTCTGCGGGACGTGACTTTCCATTATAGCGAGGTTGAAATGAACATGAATCAACACTAATATCAAACTATAAAATGTGATTCCCCCTATCAGTTGTAGATATTCGTAATAATATTGCATGTAGCTCTTTTTTGAACTTTGCTATCATCTGTAACCTGTCAATTTACCAGCCAGGCTATGGCACTAAAATCTGGTCTTAGCCCAGCGGTGGTGGCCTTCTGCGAAAGGTCATATCTATCGATAGATATGCTGTAGCCTATGCTGACCACAGTATACTTTTCTATTGCATGTTATTTCTGTCAGCATTGGACATAAGTCATCTTTTCGCTGGTTCCCCGATGATTGCTGAGTCCAAGGTCAGACCATGCTATCCTTGTAGCGCATGGCTCCTTTTGTAATTATAACCTCACTGTCCATGAGGGAATCCCTGCAAGTTAAGGTAAGAGGGCACTAGGAGTATGATTAATCATTAGTGTACTAAATCCTTCACGCAGCTCTAGGTCATCTCACATGATGCGTTCAGCACTTTCACTCTTCTAACCTGTTCTCAATGACATCAACTTGCAGTCCTCCAATTCAAGGTGTATACAAAAGATAAACCCCTAGAATTAGATATACAGGCAGAATACAAAGCAAAAAGCTCAGCGACATCCTATGACCCACAAACAGTCCTCCCAACCGAATAACCAACCCCACAACAATTGACAGAACCTCTCAGAATGACACAAGCATACTGCACCTGTCCATACCTAAAACATCATCTTTGATCGCGACAGTTCTGCTCGGAGAATCCTGGGTCGCAGTGGTCTTCATATATGGGACCGCACACTACCATCAGCTCTACGAAGCTGTGACGAAAACAGTGAGCCTATGTCATTACCCTTCAGCATTCCTCCTAGTGTGTCCAATCCAAGTTCGGCAAGCGCCAACTCTGCAGTCATAGTTAGGTTGTGCATTGCTTCAGTGTAATACGGCACCTCAACACCGTCATACGTCACAAGCTTCACCACAGAATCTATAAGGAGGTGCCCATTTTCCAAAGCTTCGGACTGGGCTTTTATAATGGTACCAATATTTGACTTGATTCTTTCTAGGTTCAGTATGCCGTATAAAGGACTTGACTGATTCCCTGGTTTTAGGATCAGATCTTTGAGCGTAGCGTTGCCAATTATGTCCCCAGAAATCTTCAGGTCCAACACGACAGTTCCCTGCAAGGATTGTCAGCTGATTGATCTGGCCACAGATTTTTTTAGGGGTGTTTACAATCTCTAACGTCATGACCGAAGGATTGGGTAGGGATACGGTGGCAATGAAGTTCGTCCCATTGTCAGCGGGAGGGAAGAGTATCTGGGGACCTTGGATGGAAAAGCCTGAGAATGAATTCATGCCTGGTATCAAACATCAGAATTTGCCCTCTTTCGATTTGGAAACGCGGGAGCTTGCTTGTGCAGGCGGTGCAGCTAACCTTTCTGTATAATCTCCTTATTAAAGACAACATTTGATTTTAATTTGCCCAGGAAAGCGTTCACTCTTGCGGTTGCAGACATAGTAACAGTTTCCTGGAATATCATGGACCGGACGTATTCAAGCCACTGCTGGTTGTTCAATTGTGTAGTTTGGTTTTGGACTCCTAGGACAGCCGTCCCGCCAACTGTGGTTCCAGGTATGTACACTTGAGCGAATGGGCTGTTACTTGAACCGTGTACGGATCCAAGACTTAGTGTCAGAGGATCTATGCGCACTGGAATGTCAAAGGGTACATGTAAAGTTGAGTTGATAGTAAGGTCGACCGAATGAGGGCGCGGGTTCATGACATCGGCTGCTATGAGGGTGAGAGATGATTGATTGAGTATTCGCTGGGCTATCGCACGGAGTATCACTAGAAAGCTAAGAACACAGTAAGTGCTATTATTCGAGGAAGCAGGTATGGGCCATACAAGACTGGTAGCATGATTGCCAACACAACAACCCCACCCAGAAGATAGAACCACCGGAACTTTGTGCAGTGTCGCCGAAGAGATTGTCGCTTGCTTTTTGGGAAACTTGACGATGATGGACTGGAATCCATCACCTCGCAATGCTCAACCTCGGATACATCCCCACCAACTTGACCATCGCGGCTGGATGAAAAAAGATATGCTTTCATAGTATACGCAAGGATCTGTGTCTAGATGGAAGACGAAGAACAGATAATCGCTGGGGTGGAGACTTTGCAGGGGGTAGAACTATCACCGTCAGCCTGCGTCTCTGAGAGATAAAGTGATGCAACGGACAGACATTTTTAAATATTGTATGAATGGCGGAAGTTGAGAATCTTGCCCAAGGAAGGTGTGGTTGGCCAGGCCATGTACCAATGTGAAGTCCGTGATTGTCAGTACACAGGCTAGACTTCTCTAACATGCTCAAAGATCTAGCCCTAAATCTGACCGTTCCGAATTACCAGCATGTAATCGGTTCTTTTCCGGTGTTCGCTCTTCTACATTGAGGGTACCGGCTGTAATCCGGAACCATGCGGGGTTTAAATGCGCAGATCAAGTCTTTCGGGCTTTGTTCTTGCTGGCTCTCGCTTTCATATTGGCCAGGCCTTACTCCACACTGTGAATTAACCTTTGTACAAGACAGTGATGGGGCAGGACCTGACCATGGGCCCCGGAGAGCCGGAGACATCCCGAACCTCAAGCCAAGTCTCATAGTACACGGACCCTGGGGGGATTTTGGTTGTCCCGAGTACCCAGGGCCAATTGACTTCCGAGAAGCAATCATGACCGGAACTCACAGACTCACAGACTCATTGAAGTGATGGAAGTATAAATACACGTACATAGCATCGCAGTGTACCAGCAATTATTGCAGGAGTTGTTGTGGCAAGTCCTCCAGCAAGACCCGGGACGCATCCTCAGGGCATTGCCGGAGCGGTGCCGAGGTTCTGGTCGGTATCAGACCCTGGCAAGCCATATGGTGATCTTAATTTACTGCGTGTCCTCTTTGAAACCAGTTGAAACCGAATGTGTTTGGGACCCCCTTCTCATGGGCTACGAAAATATAAATATGATTGCATACTGCCCTCAGCTCTGAACCCAAAAGTATAGTGATCATAACCTCTGCGATCTCGGTACTCTTTCTTTTTTTATTTTCGTTGTTCCTATCGGTTTCTTTGGCCTCTATAGTCGACTGTGTACTGTCTTTACTTGAAACATGCGTATATCGAGCAGCCTTCTTTTTACAACACTTCTGAGTGGTCTTTCAGGCAGTGCCCATGTTCATGGAACCAAGCACCACCACGGCCTCCGCGACGGGTGGCACCTGACAGATACACACATCCATGTGCTTCCTCCGTTCTACGTTGCCGCAGTGGCCAAAGCCGGTGGTGATCCCTCCGGATTCCCAACGCCCGAGTGGTCCCTGGAAGGGACATTGCGCAGCATGGAAAGCGTAGGGTCTAAGAAGGCCGTCGTATCTCTGTCAACCCCTGGGGTTCCTGTCATGGGAACTGGGAAAAAGGCTCGCACCCTCTGTCGCAACGTCAATGACTTCCTGGCGAACCTCACGCGGGAAGCTCCCACTCATATAGAATTCTTCGGGGCTCTTCCGGACTGGCGAGATGTTGATGGCACTCTAGCCGAGATTGACTATATCTTCAAGACTCAAAAGGCAGCTGTTGGGGTTGGGATGTATACTGCGTATGGGGATATGTTACCCGGCGATCCGACCTTTGATCCGATATGGGAGAGACTGAACATGTACAAGGCATTAGTGTTCATGCATCCTGGAGTCATGGATGTGAAACCCTCCTTTGTCGCTGGGGTCTTGCCACAGCCTATCATTGACTACCCCCAGCAGACCACTCGCGCGGCCGTCGACCTAGTGCTTCGCGGGGTTCGTACACGCACGCAAGATGTAGACCTGATTCTATCTCATGCAGGCGGCACCCTTCCCTACCTATCCACTCGTGCATTGGGAAGTCTTGTGGTACCACAAATTTCCAGTGCCGTGAATGTGACCATACCTCAGGTCAAGGCTGAATTCCGCCGCTTCTACTACGACATTGCCCTCAGTACCACCGAGACCCAACTTACCGGGCTGTTGTTAAATACGGATCCATCGCATGTATTGTACGGATCCGATTATCCCTATGCCCCTGCGGTGGCGATTGCAGAGGGCAAAGTCAGCTACCTCGCCTTTGCACACGACCACCCAGAACTGGGCCCCGACGTCCTTTCGAAAAACGCCAAAGATCTACTCGTCAAGCATAGGCTCTCGGCAGATCTGGATGAGTAGCCTCATCCTACCGTAATCCAATTCTTATCTATAGCTGTTACGCATGCACTGCGGAAAGGGGATATGGCTAATACATCCTCATATTCTTTTTTTTTTTTTCGTCTTCTTTTAACTATGCAGCCATTGCCCACGGATTGTCCCACGCTCCTAGTGTTTTCCTTTGATAATATTTCACTTATGTTGCCTCAATGGCACTCTAAGCTTTATCTGATTCAATTACATTCGTTAATCTATACCATTTCAGCATTCCTTATTGTAGCATAGCCTGCCAATTACAGAATTTTGAATACTTCCAGCCACCACCCATGCTGATCATGGCGTGACACAAACCGCTGCATATTTCGTTTGGCTGTGACGGGCTCAGGTGCAACTGTTATTTACGCTCTTTGCGTGTAGTTAGGATTATTTCCCCTCATGCTTAGAATTCTGCATAGAGAGCGTCAATATAATCATTATTGAAAGGCTGTCACACGCTATGCTTTCGTCGGCGCTGAATATCCTCGCCTAGTGGATAAGCTATTCTATCCCGGCAAAAATCTTCGACACCTTCCAACGATTTCTAGTGCAGTTAATTGCTTTGCCTAGCTTTAGAAATTCGAATACGCGGCTACGTCCCTATCTGGAGTTAGACTAAATAAAAATTTGTTATTCAAAATATCAGTCAAAATAATAGAATTGGGCTCCAGGTGGGCCCAGCATTAGGCTATACCTAACAGTAACTAGTCACCCAGATAGCCTAACTCAATGCTGAAGGGCAAAGGATTCATGATGACATACAAAACGCTAGGCATCATTCCTAGCCTTCTTGCGAGCTATCAACCTCGCTCGTGCTCTATGTGACGCCTCTTACCAACCCCACGTGTACTCTAAACCACTAAACAAGCCTTCCAGTCTGTGGATCAATTACCTGTCGCCCTTTAAAATCTACTTTCAGAGACTTGGTACCACCGCGGACCAAGTTCTGGAACCAATCCGGCGCTCCTCGCTGCATGGTATCAGTAAGAATCCTGCATCAGTTGAAGGTAAATGGCTCACCAAGCCAGCAAAAAAACCGAAGATCCCCGGCAGAAAAACCGTTTTGCTGAGACCGCTATCGAGTATATCCACAATGGCATCCACAACAGTGTCGACATGTAACAGAGGCATCAGGAACCGGGGCTGGTTCGTCTCCCCTTTGAACAGCGGCGTCTTTGTGAAGCTCAACACGGCCATCGAGGCGCGAACCTTTGGAGCATTCTGGACTCGGAGCTCTTGCATAAGACACTAATTGAACAAGGGCATATCAGTAGTTTGCACACATCCGCAATAGCAGACTCGAGTCGTACCTCATGAAATGCAATCAACCCAGCTTTCGACGCCGCGTAATCAGCCAGTCCCGGTGGTGGGATATAGGCACTCATCGAGGCGACATTGAAGATATGTCCATGATTTCGCCGGATCATCGCCGGAAGGAATTCTTTTGATAGGAAAAATGGTGCCAGTAAGTTCGTTTTCAGGGTTATGCTGTTGTCGTTGTAGGTACCCTCAACTACTGTCCGCCCGCGCGATAGACCGGCATTGTTGACTGCGATTATTAGCCAGGCATTCTTGAGGCACTTGTTTCTGTTTCTTTCACCGAACCTAGAACAGTTGGATCGCCGATTTCCGCTCTGATCTTTTCGCAGACAGCTGCGATCTCTTTCTCATCGCTCAGATCGCATTTGTGGTACAGGATTCGCTTATTCTCTGTGCGTGCTAACATTAGCAAAGCTCTCACAAGCATGGGGGTTCTTTTTTTTTTTTTGGAATGAATGCCAATTGGATTACCGGGCTTGAATGTCAAAGGGATGATGTCCAAGACGACAACGCGCGAACCCAAGGCAGCTAGACGCTGAGCGACTCCTGCCCCAATACCGCCGCTGCCTCCAGTCACCACGACCAGCTCCTTTTTCCAGTCCCACGTATCGTCTGAAACCCAGTTGTTCCGACTCTTGGTACTTAACCAATCGTTGAGCCACAGGAGGACAGTGGCTGCTGCGGTGATTTGGACGAGCTTCTCATAAGGCGCGAGGGCACTGAATCTCCCCGCCAGGTGTAGACACGATAATGTGAAGAGTGGGTGGAAGATCGATTTTCGCAAGCCCACTACGATGGGATCGATGTAGAGCCCTTCACGGGGGAGGAAGCGTGGTTTGGCCATCATGCTCATGTTCCGAGTATGGGGGAGAAGGGTGTACTTGTCCGTGTATTTTTATGCGGGGGTGGAGACATACGGACATAAGAAAATCTACCTAGGCAAGTATACAGTATCCTCTGTCGTCTGGCGTCTCCCGGGAGTGTTCCGGGTTGAGCCCGGAAGGGATCCGGCGGTTTACTTCCTCGTATCTGACAATGGAACCATTTGCCCTGACAGCCGGAACCGTCCGAATACTATAGTCAATGGACATTTCTGTGGTAGGCATGGAAAAAATAGCTGCCATAGATATATCTATTAATTGCTCCCCGAGAGGTGCATCACTTTTGCCGCATTTCCAACTGAGCACTTGCGTCCTGTCTTTTGCTTATCGTATTATTTTCCTTCTTTTTTTTTTACCCATTGAACCTGCGGAGCGACAAGGCCAGGAATAGAGAAAATGGCTCCCCCAAATGGCTCGACTATAACAAATCTAAGCGGCACCTGGGTAATGGTAAGCATACCGCACATCCCGTGAAACTGACCTCACGCTGACCCACGGGCCCTAAACAGGACAAAACCCTATCGACCAACCTTGATGCAGTTTTCAAATTGGTAAGTATCTCATGATATACCCTGATATAGCGTATAGGAAGGCTAAGGAACATCAGCAAGGAATAAGCTGGATACTAAGGAAGACGATATCCGCATCATCCGCTACCCTGAAGATCACGCAGGGCTCGGATGAAGACGGCGAGTGGATGATGCTGGAGGCTGCACTAGCTGGAGGACTTCAAGGCACGCCAGAGAAACGCCAGTTAACCTGGACTGAGTTTGAGCACAACGACACCCTCTTTGGCCGTGTCATCATTCGGAGTCACTACATTTCCGGGCAGAGGACTGCGGATGGCCGAGTCCGACCTCTTGTGGAACCTTTTACGAAGGTTGTTGTCAAACCATACGCCGAGTCTATCTTGACGGAGGCAGTTGTGCTGGCACCGGAAACTGCAGGTGCAGAGCAGGAGAAGACGGACAAAGCTTTCATTCACGATTCCATCCGCAGCATGTACCATGAGTGGACAGCGGAGCAGGTACGCATCTCAAAGCCATTCTCAGCGATCGGACACTTGCTCACTGCGCGATTAGATCTGGGCAGTGGAAATTGTAGGCGAGGAACAGTTTTTGACACGTAGGGTTGTGGTCTGGAAAGGCTCCTATGCTGAGTCGGCTCATATTTTCTACAGACTTGCATGACGGCGACGGGGGTTGATATATGGCTTTTTGGGATGTAGATTATTCAAGATCATAGAAGGTCATTATAAGAGCGTTCTGGATTGGATATTTGTAGAGAGTATACAGGAAAAATGGTCAAATAGCTTGCTTTGCCCTCGCAATAGAATGTATGGCCCGCTTCCCAGGTAAACACAGCATAAGTCGCTGGTCGCAAATCAGCAATGCTTTATAGAAGGGAAAGCTTTAGGTTTACCCGGGAGGTTTTCATGAGACGAACAGTTATGGTGGCTGTGGATCTTCCAGACTCTACTTGTTGCTGTATTATCCGCCCTGGTTTGCTCCCCCTGTGTACACTGACAGCGACACTAATAGTGCTGTGGTTCGCGAATCTCTGTAGTTACGAATTTGAATTTAGAAAAATGTATTACACAAAACTATACGAATATTTCTCGCTGAATAAATGGATATTGATTGCATGTTCAAGGATAGTTTGCTAATAACGACTTGGCAAAAGCTGCATAATATACACGAAACTGTGCATGAAATAAACGAACCAGCGGACTAATGAAAAAAATATCACCCTCGACTACCTACTGCTAGCTATCTGCTCAGGACACAGGATAGTACTCTGGCCAACTGGCCTCTAAGAAGCTCGAGAGTGGCGGGGACATTGGCAGCGTCAGCGGACTGGGTGAACCCCAAAACACCAATGCAAAGAAGAGCAAGAACCATGATTTTCCATGATTGACGTGATGACGGCTTCGTAGCTTTCTGTTGACAGTGAGTATCATGATGCCCACTGGTTGAAGGGGGACGAACTTTGATATTCCAATCGGACCAGGTGGGAAAGACACTCCTCCACCAATAGTGGCCTTGTGTCCAGGGATAAGACATGGAGTTCCATTTCTTATCATTAATATACCACTATTTCATCTACCGTTAGAGAGGCAAGCAGCAAGTTGAAGCGGCTATAACACTTACCGATACACAGCCCGCATTCCAAACACGCTTACTCAATGCGTTCTGCACCCAGTAAACGTAGTCGTGCTCAGCTTTAGGCTTCAGATCAACCGACACGGCATCACCATTCAGAACGGGCTTCAAAACACGGAGAGCGTAGTTAATTGAGCTAGTATTGATGGTTAAAGACCTGTCCTGCGCTTAGGTGAAAGGAATAGGGGCTGTTGACTTACTTTTCAGCAGCCATCATGGCCGATGTATGTCCGGTAGCAGCATTAGGTCCGAGGAGCATGAAGAAATTTGGAAAGCCACTCAGCACAGAGCAGTTGTACGCGGCTGGACCGTCATACTTGGTCCAGTGTTGTGATACGTTCTCGCCGTTGCGTCCGACTACATCCATGTAAGGGATGAATTTGTTAGTCTTGAAGCCTGTCGCGAGAATAATTACGTCCGCTGGAATGAAGCCTTTATCTGTCTTGATGCCGTCTGTGGTAATCTCTTCAGTTTTCGCGTTAGTTAGAAGGACTTTATCGTTGTGTAGGGATTCAAGGTAGCCAGGATCGAATATTCGCCTCTTGAGGGTTGCAAAATTAGCATCGTTTCCTACATCCGATATTCAAAGGAAGACGGGAAATCAGTGGCATACCTTGCATCCTACATCAAAGTCCGGAATGAGGAGGTCGTGGTATTTCTCCGGGCCTGCCTCGCGCATGTATTTCTCAACCTGCTTTCGCCGCTTCTCTCGCAGCCTGGCTGCTCCTTTGGTCATCGGAAACAAGCGAAAATCATTCTCAGCGACCAAGAAAATGTGAAGTCGGTGCAGCCTCATCGCAAACGGAACATAGCGGAAGATCCATTGCAACACCCGTGGGTAGGTGAAGTTCGGGGCAGGAAATATCCAGTGCTTTGTCCGGACAATTTGCGTCAGGGACTTGATCTTTGCATCGTTGGCCAGGGCCGGCACAATCTGTGCAGCAGTGCCTAGACGCCATCAGATATGATTTCAAGGTATGGAACAAAAAGACACATACAGCCGTTCCCAATCACAACAACATTCTTCCCCTCGAGGTCCACGCTGTGATCCCACCGCGCTGAGTGGAAGATACTCCCGTGGAAGTCTTCCGCGCCAGGAATCTCACACGGCCGCGGTTCGACGAGCTGTCCTGTTGCTGCAAAAAGGATCTGGCACTCGTGGGTGTATTCGCGTCCGGTGTTCAGGTCGCGTAGGTAGAGAAGCCAGCGACTTGCATCGTCCCGCCAGACACTGCGGACTACTTCCGTTCCGAAGGTCATCTTACGACGGAGATTGTATGTGTCGACCACGTTGTCGACATACTCTTTGATTTCCGTGTTTGAGGGCATAAGCTTCGTCCAGTTGGGGTTTTGCGCGAAGGAATAACTGTACAGGGCGCTCGGGACATCGCAGGCGCATCCTATTTGGTGTAAGTTGAGGATGTGGGGAGATGGCAAGGGAATCACTCGGACCAGGATATGTGTTGATGTACCATGTCCCGCCACTTGTGGGATGTCGCTCGAAGAAACAGATATCTTCAAGGTCGTACCATCTCTTCAGCGTTGCTCCTAGAGCCACGGCTGATAGCCCGGCACCAACACAGGCTATCTGGCTGTAGGACGGAGGATCGATGGACTTTGAAGCCATGGTTGACACGAATATATCGTACTGAGACGTTGTAGTCTGGATTCTGCGTAAGCTTAAGTACGAACCATGCCGGAATGGCGTCCTGGATATAGATCCCGCTGCGCCGGAACACTTCCGAATGCATGGATGCAACCCGAATCGAGGAATAACATGTGCAAAACAGCATTCTGAGAGCGCCCTAGTTAAGGGAATCACACATCCGATGTTTTCCCAGTAGCACCTTGTGTGCCAGCGGCCCTCACATGTCTCATTATGCTCCGGGTCAGATCCGGCTTCCTGGGCCTCGCTTCTCTTGGCCTCGGTTTCAGTAAATCAAGCCACCATGAGCACCTGCACACCTGGAAACCGATTCATGTGCGTCCGGGAGAGCTCCGGTTCTCTTCAAAAGTTATAATGCCATCAGTACTACGAAAGAGTCAAGCGAAAACCACATTCTTCCAGCGATCAAGCAACCATGGATCTCCACCGCGAACTGCAGGTCACCTGGGACCATATCCTAAAATCATACAAGCCAGGTGCAATCGAACTGATGGGAGTAATTATTACTCAAACTGTCGGCTTTATTATCCCAGCAACGCTTTACATGCTGATCGATACCCTGTTCCCCAAGTTCTCGCAGCGCCACAAAATCCAGGGAGCCCGCCGACAACCGACCCACCAGCAAGTCCTGCACTGTGTGAAAGTTTCACTGTTCAACCACCTCTGGGTAGTGGCACTTCATGGCATACTGGTTTGGCTCACTGGGCTGGACCACGCCACTCTGAATCTGGATCCGATAGTGCCCCCTTGGAAAGAGTTCATCGGGGACTTTGTCTTTGGCCTCCTAGCGCGAGAAATATCGTTTTACTACATCCACCGTGCTCTACATCACCCGAGCATCTATGTGTATATCCATAAAATGCACCACAAATACGTTACCCCTGTGGCGTTCGCAGCGGAGTACGCCCATCCTGTCGAGCATATCCTCGCAAATGTCATGCCGGTTACGCTGCCTTTGTATCTCAAAGGCGCACACATCCTGTCGATTATGGCATTTGTTACCTTTGAGCTCTGGGAGGCTGCGGCGGACCACAGCGGGTACGACTTCTTGAAATTGCCGCCGGCCGAACTGCATGACTTGCACCATGAGAAATTCCGTGTGAATTATGGGACTATTGGATTGATGGACTGGATCCATGGGACAGATGTTGTGGGGTGGGATAAACCCAAGGCGAAACAGGCCAAGAAGGATGAATGATTGAACGGAGAAAGGAAGCTGTGGAAAGCCGCGACCTATATGAAAATTGCAAGACTAGTCTACTACGAACGAAGACAAAGCTAAAGCCTTCTTGAAAACATTCTTTCCTGAGACAGGCAGCTCGACCTACCTGCTGTCAAGGCCTCACCCCCGAGCTCGTTGGGGTCGAGGGCTTGAGATTGAGCCCTCAGTATCGAGTTGGTCGCTTGAAATTGCTGGGCGCGATGGCCATGGATTATGAAATGCTTAGGAAGCATTATTTATGTATATAAATGTGAACGTGATATAGACCATAAGAAAGAACATCCCACTATTGCTCGCGCGTAGTTTAACTAAAGTCTCCTTCAATTGTTTCCCCAACCCTATGCCAAGAACAGTCTAACTTCTTTTGGAGATACTCTGATGGTACTAATTCAAGTCACCTATTACGATAACAGTACTTTATTACATGTTTCACTAATACAAGTCCCATATCGCCCTACCTCAATACCCCTCCTTAGTACAGGTCTATGGATCATATTCGTTCTCCCATAACTGCGTGACAGGAAACTCCCTCATTCTTCTGCAACTGAAATCCAACCATACGACAAGTAATACAACACGAGCAAAAATAGCAGGAAAAGAAAATCAGGACCGCAGCTATATACTCTTGATATCAAGTAGGCATTATTTTGACCCTTGAGATTCGAAAACAAAATCTCTAACTCACTGTGTTGTGCTTAGAGCGACTCATACCTTCTATATTCCTGCTAATCAATCTATAATGGCTGAATGGGAGTACGACGACTTCGAAGACTTCGACGACGGCCTCGATGAGTTTGGAATTGGTATCGGCCTACCAATGGCCGATATACAAACCACCCCCCTCCATACCGCTGCCCGACAAAGGAATATCGCTCAAGTCGAAAGTTATCTAAGTCATGGGGCGAACGTCAATACGTGTGATGGTCAGGGCAGAAATGTTTTGCAGGTGGCTATCCTACAAGAAAATAACGAGGGAATTATACGGCTTCTCCTCAGATATGGGGCTGATGTCATCGGCTGTAGTGGCCCCCATGGAAATGCTTTGGTCCATGCAGTCCGTGCAAACTCAAGCATCATACAACTCTTATTGGACCATATTGCATCTCAGGGTAGTGACTATCATCCAGCTTTAGAGAGTGCTCTATATTATGCCTCCGAAACAGGTCAGCTACAATCAGTTCGAATACTCTTAGCTCGAGGTGCGAACCCTAACGCGAGAGGTCCTATGTATGGGAGTGCAATACAGGCGGCAGCTCATTATGGGCGTGAAGAAGTAGTGCAAACTCTTTTAGATGCCGGAGCTCAGGTAAACGCCCAGGGAGGATATCACGGTAATGCGCTGCAAGCCGCGGCAAGGTATGGACAACTACACTTAGTACAGATGTTATTAAAAGCTGGTGCAGACGTCAATGCTCAAGGGGGTGTCTATAGAAATGCTTTAACCGCGGCTACAATACGAAAGCATATAGAGGTTGCCAATATTCTTCTACAAGCTGGCGCAAAAGATGACATGAGTGAACATGAGGGTTTGAGCGACGTTAACACGCCTGATGATATAGGACTTGACCTATTTGAATATGTACATTATTAATGTACTGTATATATATATATTCCGTTGGCTGATCTTCCTATAGTCGACCAAGAGTATATTATAACACCAGTCCAAGTATCTGGATCTTATCAAGACGGATGCTGCTAGATGCTACTAGTATATACTCGATATAGGGTTCTCCTCGGAGTCTTAGTTGACATCATATTCTTTAGTGTAATGTTTCAAGCAGCTTATTCAGTACCATAAAAGATGGCTGGAGATAAATGATCAATCGTTCTATCACTCAAACCGAATCGATCAGTTGTGCCATGGTGGTGAGATTTGACTACGCGCTGTACCAATGTTAGGGCTGAACTTCACTACAACAAGTCCCGTCTAATATCGCATAGTCAACCTTCAACCCAGCCTTTATCCATAGTCCTAACTAGTTTGCCTGGAAAGGTTCCAGCTACCATAGATCTTTTGTACGAGTCGTGTACATGTATTATAGAACGGTAATGGTATCTTATAAATAAGTACAGTACGCTAAATATTCTAGGAATATAGTTGCTTTGTTCAGGTACCTAAAGATAGCCTAGTGGCTCTTGGCGATAGGGTTGGGGAAACAAATAAAGGATATAAGCCCGGGCGCCGGTTTTGAATTTTAGTGTATCATGAGTCTGAGGTATATTATTTGGATGAAATGAAGGATCAACATTATCAACTCCATCCCTGTATGTTGCACGTCACCGGGCAGTCCGCAAGGGACGAGCCTCCAATCGCAATATCTTGACTGCTGGGGGCGCAAGGATTAGCAACGGCTTGCGTCGAGCCGGGTCTGTCCCGGCTCTACGTCACGCACTGATGTCCCCCTTGCGGCATAGTTTACTTTGGGTATTGCAAGACTATTAGATACAGCTTAGGGCTCCGCTCAACGGAAGCATTCCGGTTGTTCTCGGGTCCATCCCGGACTTCGTTTTTTGGTTCCCAGCATGAACAAAACAAAACATGCCATCGGCATCATTCAAAATTCCAGGGGCTATTTTCCGCACATGGTTAAAACGGCTGCCTCTGGGTCTGGCCATGTGGAATGGGCTTGCTGGCGCGCTGATGGCCAACACTCCTGTAAGAGGTAGGACCAGGATACGCTATTCCCTAAGGCCAAAAGGTTAGAATAATTCTGGATCAACGATCCACAATGCTCTGGGGTGACTTATATAGCCCACCGTTACAATTATTAAATTATAAAATTTTCATAACCGCAATGGAAGGAATAAT